TAAGATGAATTTGTTAGGGTTTCTGTGAGTAGAATGAAATGAAAATAGATCTTAGTTGGGAGAAGAACCCTCTCAGCATAAAAATTACGATCTCTCTCCTTCCCTTAATTTGTTACTCTTATCTCTCCTCATTTTATGACTCAACAATTATTTTATTTTTTTTACTATGAATTTTTCTTTTTATTTTTATATTGTAAAATTAGGATTTTTTTTATATTTTAAAAAAATAAAATTAACACAAGACATTGTAGTATCTAATTTTTAGGGTTTAGGATTTATGCCTTCATTAGTTTATTTAAAAAAAAAATTCCCAGTATCAAATATACTGATTTTTTTTATATAAAAAATTATCTTATGTTTCTATATTTCTGTTTTTGCATATTTTTTTTATAATGGCTGAGGTATTTGATCCATTGGGATAGCCAAGATATATTTGATCTTGTATGATTGATGTGCTTCTAAAAATAATAATATAATTTTATTGATTTTGTCTCTTATCCATAATTATTTATATAACTAGTTTTCAACATATATTGTTTTAGTAATTCAAATGGGAGATTCACAAGGAAATAATAAAGGAAAAGGAAAAGAGAAAAAAATATGAAGCTTGGAATAAGGAGGATTCCGATGAATTATTACAATTGATAGTAGATGCTATAAAAAGAGGATAAGATATTATGGACAATTATTATTATTATTATTATTATTATTATTATTTATCTAGACATTATTTTTTTTTTTTATTATTTTTGTTTTTGACTCTTTTTAAATTTGAATGTATGAATTTTTTTAAAAATCTTATCAAATGTCAAAACTCCACAAAAATTCTACAAAATCCACAAAATCCCACAGAATCCATTAAAATCCTGATTTAAAAGTCTTGCAGAATCCATTAAAATCCTGATTTTAAGTTTTATAGAATCCTGCAAAATCTTAAAAGTCATGAAAATCCTGCAAAGTCTTTTAAAATCCGCAGGGTTTTTTTTAACTAAAAAAGTCCTTTAAAATTCTAATCCAATACACCCTCCTAAAATTGCACTATTATGATATTCGAGGAACTAAAATTGTTCAATTAAAAATTGAAGGACCAAAATCGCACAATTGTAATTCTTTAGGGACTAAAATTATCCAATTAAAATCTTGGAGATCAAAACTGTACAATTGCAATACTTGAGAGATCAAAAATACAATTAAGCCTTAATATTTCAATGACATTAAAATATAAACTTAAAACTATTTGTAATTAATTTTTTTAATTTCTTAATAAATTTATAAATATCCATGGATATCCGTGGATATCCATGGGTATTCAAGAAATTCATGGATACCCGCTTAATGAATACCTGCACGGATATGGAATGAGTATGGGGCCAATTTTTATTCAGCAGGACGGGGCGAATTTACTGTTACCCGCCCCCATTGGGGCCCATTGCCATCCCTAGCCACGGTTCCCAGTAAAGTTGAAAATTGAAATCGATCAATTTTTTTATCTTTCACCATTTTGTAGCGCGTATTCTGTGTAGACGGGCCTTCCTTATAGCTTGTAGAAGAACAATCTTAGCCACTGAAATTGGTGGGCCATGCTTGTCATGTAACCAATCATATTCTCCGCTTCTCAATATTTTGACTATTTATATAGAACCACGATAAAAAAGAAAAAAAGCAAAAAGAAAATTGAAGTATAGAAGAAGGAAAATGGCAAATTTTGTTCTGCGGGTTCCGAATACTTTGAGGAGTTTCACTGTGTTTGCTTCATCCAACCCCAACGGTGCACTACTCCCTCTATTTCTTTTGACCAATTTAAAATTGCATCTCTCTCTCTCTCTCTCTCTTTTCAATTTCAAATGATTTATTTTAATATTTAGGGGCTCCTCCTGGTGGTTCTGGAAGCAGTAGTGGTGGTGGTGGGGGACCTGTGATATTGGAGCTTCCTCTAGATAAGATAAGAAGGCCTTTGATGAGGACCAGAGCAAATGATCAAAACAAAGTTCAGGAGTTAATGGATAGTATCAAGGAAATTGGTCTTCAAGTGCCTGTGACCACTTTCTCCTTTTTGCTGATTTATGTTTAAGATCTCTGCATTGCTTTTGGAGTTTATGTACTGTTTCTGCTATATTGGGTTTGTGGTTTGTCCTTTGTTGCGTTTATGAGAAAGTGAAGGTTAGGGTTAGGGGAGTAGGGATGTTGAGTTTTATGTATTATGATGATCCCTTGGATGTGGTTTGAATTGGAGTATAAGCTGAAATTGCTTCTAGTTCTAGCTTTGGTCTTCAAACTTTGTCTGTTGAAAAGGTATGGTCTGAGTGAGAGTACAAAATAACATGAAAACTCACAACCTAAAATGATTTTCTGAATTTGTTTGAATAGCAACATTTGTGTTGCATTCCACGCTGTTAATTGGCTATAATGATTTTGGATCAATTTTGGTTGGCTTCACACAGCCATATTAAGCACAGATTTCAATTTAAAGAACAATAAGGGAGGCTGCATCCGTTATAATGTACTATGAATGGAATTGTGATGTGAATATAATCACCTAGTAATATGGAACGAGAAATAAAAGCTTGGCTAATTTTTTAAATACAATTATTCTGAAGAAAGTGGGAAAAGTATTGTCCAACCAAAATTTATCGCTAGATGGCATGCCTTTGCTTATTACAATACTATTATAACTATTCTGATTATGTTTGTTTTATATGATTAATATGTGATGTTGCACAGAGCCTTGCACAATTGAGTTCCACTGAAGGGTTAGAAGGCAAAAAATAATGGATATGGATCTCCTGCAGTTGAAAAAATAACTGTTAGGAGGTGCAGTTCAATCTTGCACCATTCATTATATTTTAATTATATTTTTTTATTAATATTTCTTATAAGTAAAATTTAATTTTAATGGTTGAGATTCATGCAGTTGAAAAAATACTGTAGAGGATCATGATCCGGAAATAATGAGCCTGTTTCTAAATGTGGGATATGTTTTTGTGTTGCTGAATTTAATGTTCTATAACTGATAGTATAAAAAGAATGTCTTTCGAAATACTAGTTTGATATGATTTTCTAGCATTTTATGTTCATAAAACTTGCAATTCCTCCTTTTTCATATTAAATAAATTTCTGATTCATCGAGATATATTGCTCAGCTGCTAATCCAAGTTCCTTTTTGTATACAGATTGATGTCCTCGAGGTTGATGGAATCTACTATGGTATGTGATTTTCTGGATTGTGTATGGGATCTTATAATTATATTATCGTATAAGTGGGTCATGCTCATTGGTAAAAACAATAAAATCAGAAAGCTGAAGGTCTTGAAAGACTAACCATGGTGAACTAAGTGCATGTTTGGTTTCCAGTTGAAAAATTATAAATTCACATTGAACAGAAAAAAAAAAAATTTTGCTTCTCAGTTTGGTGCATTGAAACTCGTAAATTTTCGTCTGAACTGATACAAACGAGTTCTCAAACATAGTGAAAACTAAATATGTCTATTCTCTTTTGTTTTTGTAGGTTTCTCTGGCTACAGTGAAAACTAAATATGTCTATTCTCTTTTGTTTTTGTAGGTTTCTCTGGATGTCACCGTTACGAAGCTCACCAGCGCCTTGGACTCCCCACCATCCGTTGCAAAATACGCCGTGGTACAAAGGCGACTCTAAGGTTAGTTGACATGTTTTGTTTACAAAAGAGATTCTTAATGTTAGTTAATATGTTTCGTTAACTCTTTTGAAAAGCATAGGTTTTATTGCACGTCGTAAGATAAGGCTTTTATTGTTGTTGAGCTCTTTGTAAAGCATAGGTGATCATATAGTCATATTCATTATCTTGGCTGATTGATTTTCGTTTCTCATTGTGTAGGCATCATCTGCGCTAAACATGTGATGATTTTATCGTTCAAAGTTAGTAACATGGCAATTAGTAATGACAGCAATGTCCTGCTTCTGAAGGCATTGTGATTCCAATGGACATGTTATGGATGATATTTCGTGGGTGTGCTGTGCTATTGTTACGTATTTATACATATGAAGATGCAATGTTTCCTCCCAATGACCAAGAGGACAGTAAACTAACACTACTGGAAAAAATCGAAAATTCATAATCTGATTTTTCTTACTCTGTGTGCATTCTTCTAGTCAGAATGTGGCCTCCTCCATCGCCCTCTGCATACACCCAAAAAAGAGTACGAGATTTAGTTAGGAAGAAAAAACAACATCAAGCATTATTATCTGTTTTGCATGGATGGAATGATCTGAACTTAAATAAGCTCCAAAATAGATCAAGTTAATAATCTTTGTCTTCATGCAAACCGTAATGAAGGCTGCTGTGTATTTTAAATTTGGAATAAAGAAGAATAACAATTGGTTATGTGAGAGAATGTATTGTGTTGTAGAATTATATTAATTTTATTGAATAGTTTGAATTTAAATACACAAAAATAACATAATGAAACTCATGCTCCATAATTTTAGGAGTTGTTACTAATACTGGAATAATAAAAAAGGAAAACAAATTATTCACTAACAACACTATAATATTCTTATTTTAACTAATTGACTTATTTAAACAAAAAATTAATTTAACTAATTTAAACTAAAACTAAAATTGTTTTGACAACATCTAAGACACATGTTCTCAACACTCGTCCTTGTCTTGAAGGTTACAAACTTCATCTTCTTTATAAAAAAATTCAACCTACTAATTTACAATATTTTGGAGAAGACATTAACAACTTAATCTGTTATTCTAGATGAGAATTTTCTTGTTGAAATTTTATTGTTTTCCTCTTATATAATTGGGTTTTAGCATCTTCAACTTTCATATTCCTAATCAAGATTTTTAAACACTTTTCATCATGTTCAAATTTTTATAGAATTCTCTTTTATTTCTGATGGAGTCTTGGATTGAAGAAACTCCATGAACTTCTACATGCCACTCCTTCTTGAATTCTTGAGAAGACTTAAAGGTTTGAATCCAAAGAAAAGAAGGAGAAGAGTTGAAGAAGATTTGCCTAAGCTCGTTGGATAGAACTCCAAGGCTACAAGGAGGAAATCTCAAGGTGAATGATGATTTCTCCTTACTTAAGGTGACTTTTGGCTAGAGAGAAAATGCAAAAGATATCTCTCATGTAATGCTCAAAAGTGTATCATCTACACAAATCCTAATGATTTATAGGCTAAGGTAGAGTGCCAAGGAAGCTAGGCTTAACCTAGAGTTTAATTATAACCATGGAATGGTTAGATTAAACTCTAGGTGCCAAAATTTGAATTTCAAAATTCAAAATTTGAAACTTAAGCCTAGATATCTGGTACCCCATGTGCAAGCTCGTGTAAGTTGCATTATCATGTGATTTAGATCACATTTAAAGTGAATTTGGACATGCCATGTCCACCACCTCCACATGGCCGATCACATGGTTCCAAATGCACTTTAAATGTGTGCTAGATTACATGTAATGTATCCACATGTGCACATTTACCTTCTAGCCTTCAAAATGGTTGAAATACAAGGTCTAAAAATTAATCTATTCTACTTGGCCAAAATACAAGACTCAAAACCAAAATACAAACCTAATGGCCTAAACCCTAAACTACTTGGGCTTTTAATGTACAACCCAACTAAAAAGTGTCATGGGCTTTTCCTTAATGTTAGTTTAATCCTTATCTAGCCTTCTAACCATAGCCCCTTTGGCCCATGGGCCTCCATCAATTTCTTCTTCTCTCAAAGCATCTTTAACCAATTGTATATGCCTTTTGTGTGCTTTTGAACAATAGTTGTTTTCTCTAAAGTAGGTTTTATGATGATATCATATTTTTGGTTCTACTTCTCTACCTTCTCTTGATTATATTGGACTTTACCTTGCTTTAATAACACCATTTTGGGACTTTGGTGCTTCTATTTTAAAATTATCTTGTTCTTCTTCAACTTGTCCTTTATATGACAATTCAATGATATTCTCTTTTGTAGAAAAAATTTGCTCAAAATTTGCTCTTCCTCTAATAATGGATTTAGAACAAAGCTTTTTCCTCTCATTTTTACTCAGAATATATTTGTCATGTATCTTTAATCAAACAATGTTTGTTTTCAAAGAACACTTTATAACCTTTCTCAACTAGTTGTCCAACACTTAATAAATTCTAATCAATTTCAGGAACATATAACACATCAAAAATGAAATGTGTTTTTGAGTAGGTTGAGATTATTACAGTTTCTTTTCCATTCATAGCAATGTACTTGTCATTTCCAACTTGAACCTTTGACATGCCTAACTTTGAATAGATCCTTGTTGTTTGTCATGTGGTTCATACAACCATTGTCAATAAGCCAATTTTGACTCGATTCAATGCTAGAGAAGCATGTAGCAACAAACAAATACGCCTCCTCATCTTGATCAACAAACAAATATGCCTCCTCTTCTTTATCAATAGCCTTTGCTACTTCATCATGTGGTTGATTTCTATTTTTGCAAATAATAGCTTCATTTCGCATTTGATTGCACTCACTATACTTAGCATCAAGTCTTCTCCAACATCTAAATGGTGGATGACCTTTCTTTCCACAACGTTGGCGAACCAAATAAGACTTTTTCCATTTGCCTTTTGCATTGGCTGCTGTTGAACTTACTCCCATTCCATCAAAATCCTTGTTTTTGATGTACTTGGTCATATTTTGTCACTTGCCTAGTAAGGCTCCTTTGATTGTTGATTCCTTTCTCATAAACCTTCGTTGCTCTTGGGCTTGCAAAGCATGTATAGCTTATGCCAATGATATCTCGGAAAGATCCTTTGTATTTTTTAAGATGGTTATTAATGTGTCATATCTATTAAGCTCTGTAACTAATATGCAAATTTACCACCCAACAATTTATCCTTATTAGTAATGTCAATCAATCTATCTGAGTAACCTTTAATCATCTCAGACTCTTTCATCAAATATGATTTGAGAAACACCAATAAATATACATGATTTTGCCTTTGTCTTCTTGGTTTTTTTTTTCTGTGTGGTTATTTATTTGGGCCATGGTAAGATTTCTAGGTAGTGAAAGCACGTCATAATCCTTTTTCATGGCTTCTCATAAATCCAAAGCTTCTAAGTACGATTCCATTTTCACTGCCTAAAGATTATAGTTTTCCCTATCAAGGATAACAGGAGCAACATATGAAAAATTTAATTCAACATCTATCTTACTAGTCCATAAAAAAAAGAGCTCTAATACCAATTGACGAGTATTTTAAATTTGGAATAAAAAAGAATAACATATGAAAAAGGCAAAGTGTGTGCGAGAATGTATTGTGTTGTAGAAATATATTAATTTTATTGAATAATTTGAATTTAAATAGACAAAAATAACAAATGAGACTCGGGCTCCATAATTTTAGTTGTTATTGATACCAAAATAATAAAAAAAAAAGGGGAATAAATTGATCCAATAACAGTACTATAATATTTTTTATCTTAATTAATTGACTTATTTAAATAAAAAATTAATTTAATTAATTCAAGCTAAAACTAAAACTGTTATGAGAATACACACTTTTGGACACATAATCAAAGCACTTTGTGTCGTTGCCTTACATAAAAGCTAAAGCGAACAACGTTGTAAAATACTAAAATATTTAGCTAATTAAAAAGTTTTCATAATGTAAAGGCCACGAGGTCAAGTATTATATTACCATCCATTGCCCAAAAGGAAATCCTTACTCGAGTGTATTGAAACAAATTACTGTAAAAGATATGTACTCTTACATCAATTAGTAAGAAAATACAACGAAGAGTGCATTTGATGTACTGTTGGGAAATGTCAAACATAAGTTTTCCTCCATGTAATTAACATGGGTAATTAGAAAACAAAGGTACATATGTTGAAACTTTTTTCTTAAAAAAGTGCTTTTTTATAACTATATAAGTGGTTTTATATTTTAATTTAATGTGTTTGTCTAATTTCTTTTTTAAAAAACTAAAGACCCGGTGGTCATTTAAACTTACATTATAATAGGATTACAAACTTTATCCTATTTTTAATAAAAAAAAATTCATAAATTGACTCATTTTTTTTTCTTCAAAAAAAAACTCTCTTCAAAGTTCTCTCTATTTTTATTATTCTATAATCTCTTTATTTGTAAAGATCTCAAATCTTGTTATAATTTTACTACGGTTAAATGCCTCTAATTATTGAAGAATTAAACTAAATGCAATTTACTGGTTGCTAATTTCAAATGCACCAAAGGGTGCAATTGGTCAGAGGTAGAAGAAATTTTCTTCCTCTTACATTTTATGCTTTTACAACAATTCTCCCCACTCCAACCAAAAAGAAATATTTATAATTCTCCCCTCTCCCCTCCTTAGATTAGTATGGGATTGATACTTGCAACTTCTTTACAAGATTTTAATTTCTTTGTATTAAAGTCATTATATTTGTTCCATTCTCATCGGTGTATTTTTTCCCCCCTCAATTTGTAGTAGTTCACTTTCCAATACACCACAAATTCAATACATAACATCACTGTATTTTGATCTTAAATAAAATGTCAAGTTCTTTTAGTGTTTGATAAGTCCAACAATATTTACTAATAGGACTCCTACTATTTTAAAATAATGAGCTATAAGTCAACTACTCAATCTTACAAAACTAGTTTGTAAAGTGAATTGTTCTACATTTATATACACTACACTAGTATAAAAGTATCAATATGAAAAGAAAAGTATGATTTAAACATATTAAGCTTTTCACATTCTTGATGCATTATTTTCATTTGGAGTGTGTGAAATCTAGGAGTGTTTATATACTAGTTTGGTTTAGATTTGGGATAAACTAAAATCTGAACCAATCAATTTTGATTGGTTTAATTTGGATAAGATTTTCTAAAATAAAAATTTGTGATTCAAACCAAACCAATCAACGAATTGGTTAATCCATTTTCTTGAAAAAAGCATAGTAGTTATTTATTTTTTTAAAACATAAAAAATACATTAGTTTATCTCAAAAATTAAATAAAACCCAAAATTAAATAAAAATCAATCAACGATGGATTGGTTACTTGATTTTGTTTGGTTTAATCGATTTTCTTGAAAAAAGAATGGTAGTTACTTATTTTTTTTAAAGCATAAAAAATATATTATTTTATCTCAAAAATTAAATAAAACCTATTTTAAAAGAGTGTAAATAACATTCAATTGTGAATAAACAATATAGCGTATAAAATATGAAATTAAAGTTACTAAACATAATTTAACATTTAAAATTAAAGTATTCTAATATTTAAAACTAAGATAATCCATCACATATAACTTTCATGATTCTTTTATGAACTTGAATGTCAATATGCAAATAATATAATAAATAAAAAATATGTTGAATTTTTTTTAGTAGTTAGTCTA